TTGTCACAATTGTTATGGCATATGATGTTAAAGGACAGGTATTTTGATTGGTCCTCATATCAACTATTGTCACTTGTAGCCATTAATTAGTTAGCTTTTAGATATATTCAATGTACTTGCCCTGCTGTACATTTGAAATTCTGTCAAAGTTAAGTTCTTTTACTTATTAAATTTCATTCTATAAACCTCTAATGGTTTGACATATTAGTTACATGCCCAAAGATTCTCTTGCAAAGACTATTATAACTCCTCATTGTTCATCCACACACCAAACTATATTTGGAACTTTCTAAAGAAAGATTTTTGCCTCAAACATACCATCTACTTACCTATTTATCTTCTTACACAACTTTAGCTTGGATGTTATTGTAGCTTGATTATAAAATGCACTACCTAGCTCATGTTTTATACATTTATTCCTGAGTTGGTAACACTATTTTTGGAGAATCCAGAAACTTTAAGTCAAATGTGGTCTACCTAGAAGAATAAGATCACTTTGGGTAGGTCCTTCAGAGCATATTTTCCCTGGCCAATTCCTGGACACGCTCTCTGTTTCTTGTTCTATCATGGTGTGTGATCAGCTGTTCTCCACCACAGGCTCCTGCCAACTGTTCTTAATCACATGGGACCAAACATTCTGAAACTACGATCCAAAATGATTTTTCTAGTAGCCTGTTTTTGTACTTGATCAAAACTATCCAAAAGTGACTGGATCTGATGTAGAGATTCCAACATAAAATTATTTTAAATTCCTCCCAAACTTAATTACACCTAAAATGTCTTTTCTAGAAAACTTCCTCAAGTTCTCTACAAACACCTCATCTCATTTCTCTCCCCATAAAACTTTCAGTGACATTCAGTCTATAAATTTCTTTGTTTGACTTCCAGATCTACTTGTGATCTGCTTCCTATGGACCTTAATTTGTTGAAACCCTATTCTACTGTCCTGTGCTTCAGACCAAATATAAACATAGGACCCCAATGTTTACACCTCTCACCAATTTCTACATGACAAAATTGTAGCAAAATATATTACCCTCTTCTAATGTTTCTTTGTGATCTAATCTTTGCTTATCTAAGGTTAACTTTACCTCTTAATGCTTGAAACTCCTGTAGTAAACTCATTATAGCTCTTCACTTTTATTTGTAAATTTTTATCTGCTACCTGATTATAACTTTGGTAACAATAGAGATTACATTCTGTTAATTCTTATACCTCGCTACACTGTTGCATAGCAAGTGATATCCATTACACATATAAAGAGGGCTGGATATATAGCTCAGTTGGTAGAGTGCTTGCCTAGCGTGCATGAATCCCTGTGTGTGATCTCCACACACATAAGCTGCATGTGGTCATACATGCCTGGGTTCCCCGCACTTGAGAATCAGAAGTTTAAAGTTATTCTTGGCTTACATAGCAATTTAAGACTCGTTTGGGTTACACGAGATTCTGTTTCCAGAAAAAAATAAAACAAAAATACAAATGAAAAAAATCCAATGTTCCAACAGTCCAAGATAAATTGCCCAGGTTAACACAGCTATTTTAATGAATTATGTATCACTGAATTTAGAAACTTAGGATAATGCCATTGTATCAATTGTCTACATTAGTTCATTTTAATTAGATAGTCAAGTGTCTCACTTTAAACATGTTTATATTTTTATTATGATAAGTCATTTGGTGATAGTGCTATTTTTATCACCCTAGAATGGCATAAAAAAATTTATTAGAAGTAGCATCCATTCTGTTTTTTTTTTTAAATTCCATTCTTCAAACAATCCTTGAATTCAGAACATAGTGTATGTTTTTCAGATTTCCTTTCTGTCTAGAGGAGAATAACAGCCTCCCAGCTTCTGATTTTCTTTCTTTCTTCACTGCACTGTGATACTGAAAAGCACCGTCATTAGAGTAAATAACTGAGGAACTCTGGGCCATTTGCACTTCAACTGATTTAACTTTGAAAAAACATAGCTATTTTAACAGTTGAAAATGGATATATACTTGTGAATAGTGAATTCCCTACTGGAAACTAAAGTTCCTAGTTCTGATATAGTATGTGCTAAGGTGCAGAAAATTATCTTGAGTGATGTGGTGAAATTCTCTCAAAAAGCCAACTGATTTCAACCTACTCTGATTTTAAAATTGCCAAGGCCATGTCTACTTCATAAAAAGTAAATGAGGAAGAGAAGAAGGAACGCTTTTACGACTTTGTCAAAGCTAAAAATCATTACCTGAGGCATCACAGGACAAACAGACCTGGATTTTATACCAGATCTAGCCTATGTAATTATGAACATTGATTTTACCAGGCTTATATGTAAAGAAAGTTGACAACACAGTGGTGCTTATCATTTCTGAGCCACAAGGATAAATGACTCAATAATATAGTATATATTTTATAAGAAAAAGTAGAACTGTCCTGAAATATTAAAGGGATTAAATGGCAAAAGTAGTAAATAGAACTTCAGTGTTTTATTTAATTTAGAGCCCTGAGGCTACACTTTGCAAATATACCATCAAAGTCTAGAGGTACCCTTTATTGAATTTTTAACAACTTAAATATTTAATCAGGGCTGTCTCCTCATGCAATCACTTTTAGATAGGTGTAATATTTTCAAGAATAGAAAAGTTGCTTTTGAACTGGGTGTGATGATGCACACCTGTAATTCAAGTATACTGTAAGAAAAGGCAGGGGAATCATGAGGCCAGCCTGAGGGACAAACTGAAATGCTGCCACAGAAAAAAATAGCAAGGATACAGCTTGGCAGTAGAGCACTTTTTTTTTGCATGCACAAAGACCTCAGTTAATTTTCCAATAGCCAAAAATATAAATGTTATTTTTTACAAGAACTAATTTTAAGGAGGCAAATAAAATTATATTTAGACTCCTAATATAAGATCTAATTATAATTTACCTTATAAGTAGATTCTTCAGTTTATAAAGCTGAAAATATAATCAAGCAAGTTATAAATATGGTAATATAGATTGATTAAATGTATGATTTCTGGAGACATTGCTACTTTTGTTGAAATTCTAGTACCCAATATTGCCTGTATGACTTTCATCTATTAAATTAGGCTGTTTTCTTCTAACACTACTTGTGAGTATAATAGAATTGTACTGGTACCTTCCTTATGAGTTTGTTTTAAGTATTGACTTAGAAAATGCTATATAAGTTGTTTGAAATAAAAAAACTCTTAATATGTGTTGTCATCATCATCATCATTAGTAACATCATCATCATCATCAAAAGAAAATAAGATAGATAAGCTTAAGGCATTTAAAATTGTTTTGTCAATATGGAACTAATATGGAAAAAAGTTAAAAATGATCTCCCTTTGACTATAGAATATCAGAAACAGAACATAGATTAAGGAGTGTCTAAATCACATTTACACACAATCTCATGCCATTTTCCACATAAGGAAACGGAAGCTCATTGAAGAGACATGGGTTACCCAATATCACAAACTTTCCAGTACTATAATGAGGTTCAAACACAAGGAGCCTGACTCCAAGCTCTGGCACCTTTTTATTATATACCATGATAACCAAAACACCTCATCTGGACCTTTAATTTCTTAATTATCAGGAATGAAAGGCTGTGGTACAAAAGCACGTGAACCAAAAATAGCACTGCCCATTGAATTTAATGATTTCATTATGAAGGACCTAAATGATGTGGTGTGTGTGTGATTTATACAAAATTAAACACCTAGAAAGTCTACTAAAAAAGAAATTCTTATTCCTGGGGTGACCTTTAAATTATGACATGCTCTTCATTGATTCATTCACAAACAATTTTTCACTTCGTATGGAACAGGAAATGACTGTTTGCAGGATCAATAAAGGGGATAATTATAATTTAAGAACATTATATGCATGTGACTGTCATGATGAAACCACTTACTTTGTATGATTAATATGCTAGTAAAATATCTCACTAACCTTTTTTTAAAGAAAGAAAAGAAGCATTATGTTCATGTAGAACACCCCCCCCCCCACACACACACACATTTTTTCTCCATGATCATTTGGCCAGATCCATTAACACATGGTTGTATTTGGAATAATTTTTCTGAAGTGAAGAATATGTACCTGTTTGCTTTGCAGTCTGTAACCTTCTGCATTTACCTGAACAATTTTTAGCTTCCAGTAGGAAATCCAGGAACCTATTTAGAGGTGTCCTGAAAATACTGAATTTATATTATTGAAGTTGACATAAAGGAAGGGGAAGATGAAAATATACCGAGTTGAGGACAAAATGATTAAAAAAAAATGCCCAAGTGTCCAGAACATTTTCTAGTCTGAGCAAACGTTTCAAAAACACATGTTATACTTACATTGTACCTTGGCTTCTGATAAACCTGTCAGTGTTTACTTTGTATACCTGTGATTCTGATTTTAATTATCCCTTTCTTAGAAAAACATTTTTCTGTTTGTGGGAAAATATCCTGGAGGCATGTCAATCTGTTGTAAATTATAGGAAGGCGTGAGGAGCTTGAGTAATGCTATCAACTGTGCAATCTGGAGGTGGGGGAGTAGCTTAGTAGTAAGCACTTGAGTATCGTGTGAGGTCTCGGGTTTGATCCTCAGTACCTGTACACACTAATGAAGCAATGCATATTAACTAACTTGGGGAGAAAGATAAACAATAATAGCATAGTCAAAAGGGTGATAATTTTGTCTAATCATTATGAATACCACATTCCTTCACTTCTGTGAATGATTTTGAAGCAACACTGCTGACTCCAGAATTAAGCTGGTACCAGACCAGATAAAGTGTGATAGAGCCAACTTGAGGTAATCTAACAAGAAGTTGGTCAAGTAATTCAGTAAATGTGTCCTTTGGAAAGATAGACATCATCAGAGAAAGCTTACATACAATGCTCTTATTTGTGACTGCTAATTATTACGAAAATATAAAGGACACCTCAGCCTTTCAGTTGTACAAAGTACAATGCTCAGAAACAATTTCTGAATTTTTTTTCTCAACAGGAGCTCCATTCTCCAACTCTGAAAATATCTACTTGTGCACCAAGTACTCTACATATAACACAAAATGCTGAACAGGTAAACAAAGTTGTGTGTTACATTAGACTTGTTTTTCTTATTTTTATGTAAGTCTTGTTCATATGTGTGAACAATCTTTAGGTCTTTATAGAACTACACATTCACAAAATGTCATAGCTCACAAACAGAAGAAGATATTCTCATATATGAATATAATCTTTGCCCAGAAAAAGAATGTATAACAAGTGCCATGAATTACATTTTTACTTCCATTATTCTCTGACTCCAACTGTTTTTAGTTTAAGTGTAGATTAACTTCTGCTTAGAATCTTCTAGTGAGTGTGGATATTTTAAGGGTCCTTGGTTTTAGTACAAATAAAGTATCTGGATTTTGAGTTGACTGGGGAACAGCTTTTGCAAGTGGTAGTACTTGAAAATTTATATTTAGAACGTGACTCTTACAGGGCAAGAGATTTTCCTTATTATGAGTATATGATTTCAATGACACACAGACTCTTATTTCCTTATACCTTTATGACCTAATAATCCTAGTTATTGGATTAGGTTTCAATGTAAGCATTGTACATCCAAATGAGATCTGTAATAATAATTAATACTGTAATAAAATTTATTTAGCTAATTGATATGTGCAAAAAAGTAAAGTCTAAGGAAATAAAAATAAAGCATATTATATTTATATTTACATAGGAGAGGAGCATACAATTTCGGGTGTAAATAAGAGAGAAGATGCTATTTTAAGTTTCTGGCAAACACATGGTATTTTGTTGTCGTTAAACCCTGATTCCTAGTTTGGTTGGAATAGTTTGTTTATTAACCACTTCCTTTCCCCTTATATTTTTATTGAGAATTTCATATATGCGTATAATGTGTTCTGATCATATCTGTTCCCTGTTTCTTTCCCCTAAATTCCCATCCTTACCTCACAACACCGGTTTCTCCAAACTTCATTTTTTCAAACAGAATCCTCTGGGTGCTTCCTGTATGGGCATGGCTGTTGGACATCATGCTATAGTTTGAGTAGCTTTTTAGGGAACACATCCCAGACAAAATATTACTCCCTATCCCCTAGCAGCCATCCGTTCCCAGAAACTCCTTAGCCAAGGGCGGGGCTTCATGATCTCCTCCTCTAACCACGGTGGTATTTGGCTGGTTTGATCTTGGACAGACCTTATCCATGCAGTTACAGCCATTGTGAATTCATGTGTACAATGGTTTGTTATGCCCAGTAAAGAAGGTTTTGCTGGATATGTCCTCTATTTCAGGCTCTTACAATCTTCCCAACTTCCCACCCCTTCTTTCATAACCCATGAGCATTTTATTAAATTGTATATGTACTTTATCACTTCACTATTTATTTACAGATGTTTTTCTCATTGATATGTACCAAGCCTCTCATATTAGTAATACTGACTTTTTCCATAAAACATTTCCAATTGTCTTTATTCTAGTGTTTTCTCTCTGTGTGTCTCTGTCTCTGTCTCTGTCTCTGTCTCTGTCTCTGTCTCTCTCTCTCTCCTTCCTTTCTTCTTTCCTTCTTTTTTTCCCTTTGGTTGGATTTCAGAGACAAGTCTAGGTACGTACACAAGGCTATTCTGGAATGCCAGATCTATTTGCTTCAGCCTCCTAAGTACTATAATTACAGGCCTGTAGCACCACATACAGGCTTTCTGTCCCTTTTAATGTAATCTATGGCTCTCCACTTCCAACATGATGAATATTTAAAGGTGTATGCTACCATGCCCAGATAAAGCCAAATGTTTAATTGACTAACATTAAGAAGTATTTTGTTCTAATCCTGTTAGGGATGCATCCAACAAAACAAAATACTTTAAAATATCTCACCATTGTAATTTAAAAAGTATAGAGAGGTACCTATACATTAAGCTGCTGCTGTTGCTTCTGGAGTTGCTATTGGTCATGCTTGCATAGCACAATTCATTGTGGTCTCCAATGTGCTTCATGTGGCTACATCAGCTAGCTTTAGCTGGAGAATAGCCTTAACTTGGATAGTGACACCATATTAGAAATGCCTTTCCCTTTCTCCCAAAGAAGTACTAGAGGATTAGTTGACCATTGAGCAGGCACCACCACCCCTTCTCCAGAAAGCAAATCAGACAAGAGATTGGGCACTCTTAATTACAAAATGTTAGGTCCAGATCTTTTCTCCTTAATCTATGAAACTTTCTAGATTTTCTCAAAGCTGATATCAATGGGCAGAATACAAATACCCAAGTCATTGTAGAGGTTGCTCCAAGTCCTTCCTCTAAAGCCTTTCAATATCCATAAATAAAGTCTAAACTAGGCAGTCTCATTCCCTAAGTTGCTGTGGGAGTCTCTGAAAACACCACAGCCAGTAGGATGTCTCTATGAGTGGAAAAGAAAGTCTGCTTAAACAAGACTCAGTAGGCAGTGTTGGTTCAAACTTCCAGAGCCTGACAATGGGCAGTTTATTTTAGGCATATGTAAGCACAATACAATTTGGAAAAATATTTTCTCATGATAATTAACCCTATCCCGCATGTACAACAAAGCTTAAAACATGATTATATTGAAACTCTTGTAAAATACAGGTGACATCTTCTATAAAGATAGGTTATATATATTAACTAAGGAAGTAGGTTCAACATCCTCTGGGAGGATGGCACCATAGACTGACTGAGATAAACGTAAGTCTAGGAGAGCTGGTGTTGCCTGGCCATACAGACAGAGCAGATGTTACCAGACTATTAACCACATCTGTTCTCAGCCTTCTGGGCAAAACCAAACCAAACCAAACCAAACCAAAAACCAAGTTATATATCTCTTCCTTTGAAAAGACACCTCCGTATGTTTAACCCTCCCGGTTCCCCTAGTGCTTATCTGTGAGCACAAGGACCTCCATTCTTCTTAGAACTTGCAACCTTGATGGCAGAAGCCTTTTTCCTTGGCGAGGGAAAACAGTGGGGACCAGGACTGTAAGTAGGAATAATAAGTATTTACATATCATATACTAGTTACTTTCCTGTTGATATGATAAAACACTATGACCAAAAGTGATTAGAGAATTGTCTCAATTGGGGTTACTATTACTGTGATGAAACACCATGACTAAAATTAATTTGGGGAGAAAAGGGTTTATTTATGCTTCCAAATTACTGTTCATCTTTGAAGGAAGTCAGGACAAGAACTCAAATAGGGCAGGAACATGGAAGTAAGAGCAGATACAAAAGCCATGAGGAGTGCTGCTTACTGGCTTGCTCCCATGACTTGCTCAGCTCTCTTGCTTTTTTTTTTTTCTTTTTCTTTTTTTTTGGTTTTTCGAGACAGGGTTTCTCTGTGTAGCTTTGCACCTTTCCTGGGACTCACTTGGTAGCCCAGGCTGGCCTTGAACTCACAGAAATCCACCTGGCTCTGCCTCCCGAGTGCTAGGATTAAAAGCGTGTGCCACCACCGCCCGGCCATCAGCTCTCTTTCTTATGAAACTCAGGACCACCAGCCCAATGGTGGCCCCACCCACTATGAGCTTCCCCTCCATCAATTATTACTTAGAAAGTGTCCTACAGGCTTGCTTACCCCTTGATTTTATGAAAGCAATTTCTCAACTGAGGTCCCTTCTCTAAGGACTCTAATTTTACCAAGTTGACATATACCGAGCCAGCACAACTGACCCCTTGCCAACTTGACACACAAATAACTCACTGTTAAGCCACAACCTCATCTTTCTTGTCCATCCCCAAGATCACACATTAATATTGATATTACAATATAAAACATTTTATAAATTTAAAAAGTCCCACAGTCTTTAAAAATTTAAGCACTAAAAATTTCAGTCTCTTTAAAATATCCAATCTCTTTTAAAATCCAAAGTCTTTTAAAATCCAGTATCTTTCAACTGTGGATTCCTATAAAACAAAAATACTTTAAATATTTTCTTACTTCAAAAAGGAAGAACAAAGGCATAGTTACAATCTGAAAAAATGCAAAATGAATTCCAACTGTAAATAACTCAGTATCCAAAGTCTGGGATTCACTCAGTATCTTCTGGGCTCCTCCAAAGGGCTTGAGTCATTTCTCTGGCTCCACCCTCTTCAGCTCACACAGCTTGTCTTCTAGGATCCAGCTGGCTTTACTCCACTACTGCTGCTGTTCTTGGTAGTCATATTATGGTGCTGGCATTTCCAAATGCTAGGGTCTTCTGGTGCAACTGGGCTGCACTTTCACCAATAGCTTCTCCTGTGCTCTTTCATGGTGCCAAGCCTCAACTTCTTTGAATAAACCCTTCACTCCTGGGACTTCAACTGCCACTGAGACTGCACCTTCACTAATGGCCTCTCCTGGCCTCTCACAGTGCCAAGCCTTAGCTGCTCTCCCCGACCTCTTCATGCTTTCAAAACTAGAATTACCTGAGTGTTGCTTACATATTACTAAGTTCAGCTGCCAGCACAAGGTACAACCTTGGCCACCTCTGGAATACAGCTTCTGTGTGCTTTCAGGAGACTCTTTCCAGAAGATTTTACAAGTGATGCTGGTCTCTTCTCTTCTTCTTCTTCTTCTTCTTCTTCTTCTTCTTCTTCTTCTTCTTCTTCTTCT